CTGGCGGGGTTTCGATTCCCCGGTTGTACGTGACAAGGAGTAGGGTAGCCTGTCCATTCTCGTGGGTTTTCTCCGGGTCCTTCGGTTTTCTCCCACTTCTAAAGACCCCTACGCGCAAGCGAATTATTGAAATAAAATTGAACCATGTGTAACAGGACGGGTGGTTGTCGATTTGCACTCGAGCGGCGGGAGTAACCGGCTCTTATGCAAACCGGAAGTCCAGGTTCGTACGCAGGATGTCAGGTTTCTCACGTGAACTGAAGTAAAAGAGAACACATTTATGGGGTTTCAAATTCTTTATTTCGTAAGATACAAAAAATTGTGTGCCCGAAACGCGCGTCCAAATCCGTTCGGCTTCTTCTCCTCACCAATGGTAACCAAACTGAAACAAAGAACTCGTGCCAAGTTCGTCAACATCAACTATATATATGTCTGGTTACCGAACAGGAAACTGAGCGTCCGCTCACACAAAATCCTACATCTTCCGAATAAAACCCCAAAAATGAATCAAACGTAGGTAAGATATTAACAATAATTGACGCCTACCTCAGTCTGAACTGACAATATTCATCCAAAAGGGACGCCACAAATCTTACATCACCCAAACAGACCCCGTAAAATAACTAGAAACTAGAACTAATAACTCCGCAAATAAACATAAAATCACAGCTTGATGCCGAATTTATACTATTCGTTCGAAGGAAAGCAAACATATCTTACATCACCCAAACAAGACCCTTAATATAACTAGAAACTAGAACTAATAATTCCACACAAAACATAAAAATCACGGCTTGATGCCACCTCAGCCCGAATTTACTATTCGTTCGAAGGAAAGCAAACATAGCTTACATCACCAAAACGGAACCCGTAAAATAACTAGTAACTCTACTAATAAACCAATAATTCCCCTATAGTGTGGAACGCCCGTCTTAGTCTTAAGGACTAAAGGCAAAACTCTACCCCGGAGATCGAACTTGTCCCGAGCGGAATAATGGGTTATTCCTGCGGAACTTGCCGATCACCGAAGACAAAGTCTCCCCTTGAGATGCTTACCACAGAGCGAAATAAATAATATTCCAGCTGAGGTTCGCACCCCCCCCCCCTACTGTTCAGCTAATACTGACTTTGACTGTCCTTATATACTCTTATCTATATGCTATGCAACTGGAAAATACACGTGCATAACCTGTGCATTACGAGTGAGTTACAGTTACAATTTAGTTCCCGCTCTCCCATTGGTTGATGTTATCACATATTGACCAATAAGACGTTCCAAACCACAAGTCGACGGCATATTCACAAAATGGCGGCTATTTACGAAATTTCCACATGTAAACAAACCCCCATTACAAGTTCGACATAATATGAAACAATATGAATAGGATAACTATGCTAGGAACAAATAATAAACAGTAAGTTCTAGCTATTGTAATGATCTAAAAAAATACGAAACCCCCACACATGTGTTAGTCCCGAAATAACCTAGTTTGTGTCGCGTGGACGTTAAATACGAGTAGGTCGTAGCATCTATATCCGTGCAAAAAATTCCCTCATTCGCACACTCCCCTCGCCATTATCCCAGTCTATGCAGAAGAGTAGGACGTTAAACCAAGTCATCCGGTATATAATACTCGTCAAAAATAATCATTTGATGTTTTTACAATTCTACTATTGTCCCATTTATGAGTGATTGAAACCATTTCGTTGTTAATACTATTAACTTCCAAGCTATACACAGATTAATGTTCAGTTTGATACGAAGTAGTGAGTGATCTAAAAACTCATTAAACTTTCAATTGATGTCAGACAATCAGCTGTGACAGAGATTACTTTGAAGAAGATTAAACAATAAACTTACTAACACACAAGCCATCTAGTTGACACAACTCATTTCAGTTGGTGCAAATATCTAATGAAAACTAGTCTATCTTGTTGATAGGTGATCATTAATTGTATATATTTTATTTTCTGTAGTCACTGTACAAGTGTCGCATATTTACAGGTCTGACTAGTTGAAGTATAGCATAGGCTTCGCAGATTGTTTTAAAGTTGTACACATTGTGACTAGATATCTATTTAAAGCTGAACTCCGATTATAAAACTACAGAAATAATTAAATAAAAAAAAAGGTTACGAAATAAGAAACAATTGGTTGGTGCTGGTTGATTTGTTATTGTTTGGGGTAAGGCAATTTCTCTGTTATTTTTATACGCCCACATTTTCATGTGGACGTATATTGTCGTCGCCCCTATCCGTCCGTCCGTCCACAAGTGTTTGTGAACAGTCTACAGGTCACAATAATTTTTATCCGATTTCAATGAAACTTAAAATATAGGTTTATCACCCTAAGATATCGGTTCCTTTCGATATTGGCATGTATCGGACTGTAACTTCATGGATTATGGCCCCTGATTGTACGAAAAATCACGTTTTTAGCTTGTGAATACTGTAGAGGTCACAATTTTTATCCGATTTATTTTAAACTTGAAATGTATGATTATAACCCAAAGATCTCGGTTCCTTTCGATATTCGCGTATATTTGAACATAAATTCCTGAATTATGGCCCCTGATTGTACGAAAAATCGCGTTTTTAGCTTGTGGACCCTATAGAGGTCATAATTTTTATCCGGTTTGGAAAAACGTATTATTATATCACCGTTAAACCCTAAGGACGGTTGAGTTCGAATTTCGTGAAAATCGGACCAAAACTGACAGACAAAATGGCCGCCGTTCGTTCTCAAATAGCGCAAAAATATGGTATATCAAGGTTTTGGGCCCTATAGAGGTCACAATTTTTATCCTATTTTGATAAAACTTGAATGCAAGTTTATAACCCAAAGATCTCGGTTCCTTTCGATATTCGCGCATATCGGAACGTAACTTCCTGAATTATGGCCCCTGATTGTACGAAAAAACGCAATTTTAGCTTGTGGACCCCATAGAGGTCATAATTTTTATCCGATTTAAAAAAACGTATTATTATAGCACCGTTAGACCTTAAGGACGACTAAGTTCGAATTTTGTGAAAATCGGTCCAAAACTGACAGACAAAATGGCCGCCCTTCGTTCTCAAATAGCGTAAAAATATGGTATATCAAGGTTGTGGACCATATAGAGGTCACAATTTTTAGCTTGTGGACCCTATAGAGGTCACAATTTTTATCCGATTTTGTTGAAACTTGAAATGTAAGTTTATAACCCAAAGATCTCGGTTTCTTTCGATATTCGCGCATATCGGACCGTAACTTCCTGAATTATGGCCTCTGATTGTACGAAAAATCACTTTCTTTTTAGCTTGTTCTCTATCCATCTCTCGAAAATGTGGGCGTATCCTGCCTGGCAGCCGCTGGTTAGAGGAAACGTACACCTTGGTTGACTTATTTCGTCGAATTAGTAAAATAATATATATACCTGATCAGACATAATAAATGTGTAGCAATAATATTTTCTGTGAGCTGATACTGGAAAGACTTCAATCAGTCATGCGGTAATTCGTAGTTGACTATATCTAACCGGATGTGGACACTTCGGTTGACACGGCAAATACTGGAAGTGGGCGTGGCCTGCCTATGTGTTTGTCCACCCAAAGCGATCGCCATGTTAGTTCAAGAAATTGAAAACAGGTATGCGGTTGGGTGGTGGGGGGGATAAAAGGGTTGTGCATTCTAAATATTATCCCGTGGTGTCTCACCGTAAATGTATATTTCCTGGGAATCTGAATAAAATCTTGCATTCTTGTCATCCACGGTGTAATTCAACCATTGACATTGAAAAAACTGTAACACAACAAAACAAAATTAGTGAGAATATTTAAAAGATAATAAGACAATTTCATTTCAAATGCTGGCTATGATGATCATTCTTTCCTACTCCGACCACGCGATCTCGGCCTCTACTGATTTGAGTCGTATCAAATGGGCAATAACAGTCCTCTAAATTCAAAACGGTCGTGGGTTTATCTCCTGTTTGTGTTCCGTTAAGGTTGCACTAGTACGACTATACGCTGTTCCCGCCAGGTGCCCTAACCTATACCAGTGAAAAGGGGGAACCAAGCAAGAAAAATCCGATGAAGTTTCTCGGCGAACACCGGGATCGAGCCCAGGATCTCCGGGTTAACGAGCTAACGTATTGTTATGACCAATATATGACATGATCAAATTGACTTGGTGGATTTATCATTTATAGAAAATGTTGGTTTTCAAATGTTGTCAATTAGTTCTAATTATTATCAGTATAACATGACCATACTAAAACTAACCAAAACATGTCATTTAGTTTCAACGATAAGCATTAGTCCCGAAATGAACTAGTCTAGAACAGTTTATAGTTAGTTTATGAAAGAGGAAAAATTTAACCATTTAAAAACGCCCCCTGTCTCTACCTATTATCAAATTTTGTACAAACACTAATAAATTTGCAACGATAGAATAGTTTATAGTCTAGAATAGCGTATTGTTAATTTATGAAAAAGGGAAAAATTAAAGCTGCGCAATTATTGTTTATTTGTTTTGTTTTCAGAAAGAAAATTTGGATTTAAAACTAGAAATGGCAAATCATTCCGTCTCCACCAAAAGCTGTAAATGTGATGTTTGTGATAAATCATTCCCATGCCGTTCCCAATTAAATAGACACATTCTAGTTCATACTGGTGTGAAGCCATATAAATGTGATATTTGTAGCAAGTCATATACTTCTAGTTGTAATCTACGAGATCATATCAGAATTCATACTGGCGAGACACCATATAAATGTGATATTTGTAGAACGTCGTTTACTACTAGTAAGATTCTACAGGGACACGTCAGAGCTCATACCGGGGTGAAGCCATATAAATGTGATATTTGTAGCAAGTCATATACTTCTAGTGGTACTCTACGAGAACACACCAGAATTCATACTGGTGAGACACCATATAAATGTGATATTTGTAGCAAGTCATTTACTACTAGTAATATTCTACGGGGACACGTCAGAACTCATACTGGGGTGAGGCCATATAAATGTGATATTTGTAGCAAGTCATATACTTCTAGTTATACTCTACGAGAACACACCAGGATCCATACTGGTGAGAAGCCATATAAATGTGATATTTGTTTCAAGTCATTTACTACTGGTAAAAGTCTACATCTACACACAAGACGCCATAAAGGAGAAAACCTTTTCTCGTGTAATGTTTGTAGAAAGTCGTTCACAACTGGGTCTGCTCTACGTGTACACACGAGAATCCACACAAGAGAGAAGCCCTTTTCTTGTGATGTTTGTAGTAAATCGTTTACAACTAGGCGTAATCAACGTGAACACACTAGAACCCATACTGACCAAAAACCCTTTTCTTGTGATGTTTGTAGTAAATCATTTACGACTCTTAAAATTTTAAAAAGACATACAAAAATTCATACTTGAGAATAACAATTTCAGAACCCATTCTTGAGAAAACATCTTGTCTTGTAATGTTTGTAGAAAGTCGTTTACAACTACGATTACATAGTGGAACCTATACTAGAGAAACATCTTGTCTTGTAATGTTTATAGAAAGTCGTTTACAACTACGATTACATAGTGGAACCTATAATAGAGAAACCCCGCAATCTTGTGATGTTTGTAGAAAGTCGTTTATTACAAATGCTGAACTAAAGCTACTTGAGAATAGTGCATTTCTTGTAATGTTTGCAGTGCGTGTACGTCATCCACGAAATATAACCTTTTTTTATAAACTGACACAATTCGTTCGATTAAAGATAGACCTTGAAAACATTATTATATTTAAATGTATGTATTTAAACACTCAAACCATAAATTTATATCTGTAAATAGAGAAACCCCACAATCTTGTGATGTTTGTAGTAAATCATTTATTACAAATAGTAAACTACATCTACACATGCGATTATATGGTGGAGAATAATCCATTTCTTGTGATGGTTGCAGTAAGTATATGTACGTCATCTACGAAAAATAACTATTTTATAAACTGATACAATTCGTTCGATTAAAGGGAGACCTTGAAGACATAATTATATTTACATTTATTTATTTAAAACCTCAAACCATAATTTTATCTGTAAATAGATTAATTCAGTTAATTATTATATTTACAAACCGTAAATTTATCTGTAAATAGATTAATTCAGTTAAAAAAGAAAAATAAAATCTGCGCCGAATGTGTTAAATTAGTTTGTTATTAGCACAACATGAAGATTATTCAAAGTGTCATTTCACATCACACATGAATAATGTGTATAGAATGTGTTTAATTAGTTTGTTATTAATACAACATGAAGACTATTCTAATGTGTCATTTCATCACACCTGAATAATGAATCGAGGTTTATCGTCCTACTGTTCTGCTCCGAATGTGCTGATCAAGAGTGTTTGAACACGTATATAGATGCTATAAGATTGATATTTGTAATTTATATTATTATTTGAGTATCCTTCGACTGTAAATGTATTTCTTTCAACTGGATACCCAGTAACATTATTTACTCAACCTTTCAACGATTGATATCCGTTTAAAGGGGTTTTATAACTCTCAGAAAGTAAATGGATGTACATTTAGGGCTGTATAAAGGTGGTGGACTCACGGATTGTTGTAGGTCTATATGTTTGAATTGATGCTTATCTTATAATTATGTAATTTTATGCAATTTAACCATGTATTATGTGTAATAAAACTGTTTAACTCATGAAAGCCGTGCTATAAATAGAACTTAAATCACATTTGAACAAAAGCTAAGCAGAGTCGGGACACGACTTGTAACTTGGCGCCTATTCTTACAAATTATTAATTTGCTATATATTTCTTGTTTTTAATATACCTAGAGCAATGGGGTTTAACGTCCACTCGACACAAACTAGGTCATTTTGGGACTAAAACATGGGTCAATTTTATTTCAATAATTCGCTTAAGGTAGGTGTCTTTACGAGTGGGAGGAAACTGGAGGACCCAGAGAAAAGCGGGGAAACGAAACCACGCCAGTTGACCGAATGACAGACCTTATGATACAGCACGGAGGCGCTAACCATTCGGCCGCCCTACCCCCACCTCCCATAGAGCCGGAAAGGGTTATTGGTATCACATATTGTAGTCTAGAAGGATACATCAGCTAGAGGGTCTGGAGGGATTAGATGTACAGAGTTTATTTACCATAATATCTAGATCACCGAAATAACTAAAAATATACAAGAACAGGATTCATAGTGTCGAATGGAATGGATTTAGCATTATCATAACAATTGTTTTGGATGCCATTAATATAATAAGGGATTTAAAATATGACACGGCAACAGACCTGTATAATATCTGTAATAATTCGATAAATCACCTTCTAGTTTTAACACATTTTACCTGATTGAAAAAACAATTTATCAATATTGAATCATTTATACCATAGGTTTGCCCGGTTAATGAAGTCGTGGGCTTTAGAATTATCAACAAAACACCAATAAAGACGTGAATGTTGATTAACAAATTGGTTAATCAAAGTATTATAAATATAAAAAGCATCTGTAGTTGATAAACCTGTTGTGAAACCAAACAGAGAATTAGTATTTGATATAATATTATATTATTAATCCATTGTTTAATATCCCTGTAATTGACAATATATCTGGAATCTGATATTGACACTGATGAATTTCAACAATTTTTTTTTCTGGTAAGTCAAATAAATTTTAAAGTGTTTCTAACGATAGTAAATAGTAAGAAGCCTTTAATTTCATAAAATTGTAAAGTCACGTGGATCACGTGACTTTTAAGCATATAAAGATGAAAAACCTGAAAAACACGTGCAAACACAACATCGTGAGGTCAATCGATGCAAGTTTGCTTAAACTGAACACGCACACGTAACTTGAACTGGAAAACAAATTAAAATTGTTATTTTCATCTTTGTTAGAAAATGCCGAGCCTTTCAAATGTAGAACGTCTACGTGCTATAGGTAGGCTCTATGCTGGTCAGTCTGTGGTCACTGTTGCAAGAGCCTTTAATTGTTCACCCCAGACAATAATTAATCCTAGAATGAGAGTGCTTCAAACTGGAACTATTGCCGACCGCCCAAGGGCGGGAGCGCCACGTGTGACGTCACTCCAGGAAGATCAAGCAATACGATTACGTCATCTTAGAAACAGATTTGTCACTGCAACCTCCACAAGTAGAGAGATGTTTGGTGGAAGGGTAACTGCACAAACTGTTCGAAATCGCTTGCAGGCTGCTGGTCTTAGAGCTCGGAGGCCCTATAATGGAGCAATATTGACACCTCTTCATCGCCGTAACCGACTTGTGTGGGGCACAAAACACATAAGATTTACTCAAAGACAGTGGAATTCGGTTGTCTTTAGTGACGAATCTCGATTCACTTTGAGATTTGCCGATGGAAGGGCCCGAGTGTACCGCAGACGAGATAAACGTTACGCTCAAGTATGCGTCAGAGAAGTTGACCGATTTGGTGGCGGCAGCGTCATGGTTTGGGGTTCTTTTTGTATACATGGACGTTCTCCTCTTGTTGTTGGCCAAGGGAACTTAAATGCTGTCCAGTACAGGGATCAGATTTTGCAACCTGTTCTTCTAACGTTTATGCAGAGATCTGGGCCTGGACTAACGTTTCAACAAGTCAATGCTTCACCCCATACAGCAATTGCTACCCAGAATTTTTTAAGAAATGCCGGTGTCCAAGTCCTGGATTGGCCGTCGCTTAGCCCCGACCTTAATCCTATTGAACACATCTGGGACGAACTGGGTCAACGTGTTCGTCAGCAAGTGAATCCACCACTGACGTTGCAGGACCTTCAATATGCTCTTGCTGAGCAGTGGCGACGTCTTCCTCGGGTAATGTTTACTAATGTTCTGAGATCCATGAGAAGACGTTGTGTGGCAGTACGAGACGCTAGAGGAGGCCACAACCGTTACTAAACACTTTATTCCGATTGTTCTCCAAGTCTGTGAATTTCATTTTGGGGGGTACTGTGACATCACGAACGTTGTCAATGTCAAGGACTTTCGGCGAGACGTATTCTTGCTTTCTGTTGATGTCAAGGTCGTCTGTGCACAACATAACACTAAAATAGTTGCCTTAAACCAAATATTAAAAATCTAGTCCCAAAAATCCCGAGTGTCAAGTTTTTAATTTGGTTGAGTATATTAAAAATATAAACAGCATCTGCAGTTGATAAACCTGGTCTGAAACCAAACAGAGAATTAGTATCTGATATAATATTATATTATTAATCTATTAATATCCCTGTAATTGAAAATATATCTGTAATCATGCTATTTAAAAACATTTAACAAATGTTTTATATTAACATTATTTGTTTGTTTTTATTAATTCTTGAACCATTAATGTTAATTTTAGTTTAATGTTTTACCATCAAATTGAAATGAAAATTCATTTTGTTCATAAAAATTATCAATATGTATGGAATGTTCGATGTCAGTCTTTGTTTTCTTGAAAAATGAGCGAATTGACGTTCAGTATGAAAAGAATACGGATTCCTTCATGTAAAAAGTGTGGTAGTGTCGTTCGATGTGCATAAAGAATTTCAAACCAGTCGCCCAAACTCATCGATTTGTCTACTTGCTTGGCGTAGGCGAGCCAATCAACTATCGTCCGCGTGCATGATTCGACTATAAAACTGGGCGCGTATCATTCATAGGGGGAGTTTCAGTTATTAACTCCCGAGGTAAGGTAACCTTATCATATGTAAGACACAGACCGGTTGCCAGAGTCGATAATCGCCTCATATCAACCAGATTGTGTGATTTTCATTTCTTTTATATTTGGGCTAGATTGTTTGAGCGCATTTCTTACTCTTAGATAATAGTTCTGATTTGGGGGGGGGGGAAATAGTATAATTTGTATCTACTTCTCGCTTCGCTGAGGGGACCGCTGAATCGATCCACGTACTAAACCATATTGGAATTTGGTCACTTGATTCGTGGAGAAGAATTCGGTGGTTTCGTTTTTAATGGTGTTCTAGTAGTTTAGACATTGCGTTCTACTGTCAGACACTGGGAGGAAGAACTCGGTGATTTCGATTTTAATAGTGTCCTAGTAGTTTAGACATTGCGTTCTACTGTCAGACACTGGAGATATAGGCATTGCGGCCTTCTCACTTGATTCGTGGGGAAGAATTCGGCGATTTCGTTTTTAATAGTGGGTTAACGGGCTGTACAGGATCGATGAATCGATTCACCACAGTGGGTTAATTCATTCCGTACTTTGAGAAATAGACTTTGGCGTATAGATTTCATGATTTCTGTTTAACATTTCGGGCAAATCAATCATTTGAGACCTTAAGGGCATACATCACATTTCCAGAATCGATTGTGTTTAATGTATAATAAAAATATATCAAATTATATCTTGTTTATTGT